TTATTATGAGCATTGGGAATATGGTACATAATAAATGTATCGTTTTTTTAATCAGAAATTTTGTCTTTAAAAGTCAGAGCATATATGAATAAATGAGAGAAGCAGAAAGGGCAGAAAACTCGGCCTTTTATGTTTTGTCGGATGTTCGCTTTTCAAGAAAGCTTTCAAAGATGGTAAGAAAGTAGTGATTGAACTTGTGTCAGAATGCTTTCATTGTCAGTGCACTTTACCATACAGAAAGATCAATCACTTCCCCTTGAAAAAACTGGTCATTCTTCGCTTTTTCCATTCATCCTTTACAAAAAATCATTAGTTTAATGAAACAAATTATCTAAATTATTGCATGAAATGATTTAAAGTGGAAGTGCAATGGTTGCACTTAATGTAAAAAATATTGTGAGGAAAAAGGAAGATGAAAGGTCAATTCATAAATGCATGTCTTGTAATTTTAATAAACCATGAAGAGCTCTAAAACTGCTACAGGAGCAGGGATATTTATTAAGTAATCTCATGTACCATTTCCCCAGGGTATATTGGCCCAGCATGGCCACTAATACTTCCACGCTCCACCCATTAACCTTCAAAGACGTGAGATGTAATGAAAACAAGTAGGAGCCCTTTCTGAAAACCCTTCAAAAGCTTCCACCAACAAAATGATTCCGGTGTGGATATCAAAGAAATGCTTAACAGGCTAAAGTAGAACGTTTGTCGATATTTCCTGAATTCAATAACACCAAAAATAGAAATTAATTTGCCATACAAGCAATGCACATGTACAGAATACTGGCTTTCATATTGTTCAGGGGATTGTTTGTTGGAATCTTTAATCAGTTGTTTTAAAAATGTATTCCATTTTAAGAATACCTGATCTCTAGTAAAATACGTTGCTATTTGGAGTTAATGCTGATTGATTTTTAAAAATTCTAATATTCTATTCTAATCTGAGTACATTTGTTTGTTATCATTAATCAAATTGTAAAGTAATGAAAACTAACATTTCTAGAAGGTGTGCATATTGCTTACTGCCTTGCGCCAAATTTCTGCAAGAATTTGTTAACATTTTGAGTTTGTACCGGTGTGATTCTCAGCCACTGCCACAGCAGATTCTATAAAGTACTGTAATTTTGACCGTACACGTCGCATCAGTCCAAATATGTCTAATAAAGCGGGAAAAACATAAATATGATGCTTCATCGTATAAGTCGCCTCTATTATGCGTCACCGCTGACGACACGGAAATATGGGCCGGCGTTGTGCCAAGAATCGATTGGCTGCCAAATGGCAGCCACGGGAGCGTGCATGGGAAGACTTTAACAAGAATTTAACAAGATTAACACTTAAAAACAATTATTTCAGTCTAACTTTTCCTTAATAAATGCACTTTAACGGTCAAATCGGTATTTCAAAAGCTGATACGCGAAAGCAGGAGCACGCAGAGGGACGACTCGCTGTGCATTTCTTCAAAATTTAACAAGATAACAACCTAAAAATAGTTGTTTTTTTGCTCGACTTTATCGTAAAGGTGTGTCTTAGCTGAACTTTTACCTAATAAATGCATTTTAATGGTCAACTCAGCTGCATTTCAAAAGTATTGGCTGCCTCGGTGCTCCGGGATTGTGCAGAGGGAGGAAATCAGGAAAGAGGAACACTGCACATTTCTTCAAAATTTAACAAGATAAGCACATAAAACAATTGTTTGTTTGCTCGACATTATAGCAAAGGTGTGTCTCAGTTGAACTTTTACTTAATAAATGCGCTTCAATGGTCAAATTAACTGTATTTAGCCAGGGCGGCGCAGCAAAATGAAGCTGATTTGACGGTTGCTCCAGGCATGATCCCGGAGCTGGACGAAGGTGGCCTGTATGGCAAGCCGATTGTGTCATTAATAGCCACTTTTACCTATTACATGACGCTGGTGAAGATTATCAGTCATCTAGGACATGGTAAATAAATAATAAAAAGGTTATAAAAAAAAACAGCAGGCCTTTATTTGTAACTTTTAAACGAAATGTCTTCAGTTACAAATAAAGTCCAGATGGTTTTGTTTATAAATATTTTTTGGACCTATTTCATGACACAATGGCATGCCATTCTACTTGAGTGCCATCTAGCGGCTGAAAATGGTAGTGTTCAATATTTTCAACATCAGAATGAATGAAAACGATCATATCTCAGACAAAAATTTCTTCATAAATATGGCGGGGGAGCATAAATAAGTCACTTTGGTGTATAAATCACAGGGCATGCAAATTATGCAAAAAACTGTGATTTATACGGCAGAAAATATGGTAGCTGTAGCTCGGTATTTGTAAAAAATATTTCATTATAGGCATTTTTTTGTTGTTGGCTTAGGCTAATTATTTGTATCAGCTATTTCAGCCATTATCAGCAATCAGGTTCAGTTTTAGAAGTAAATCCAATTAATAATTTTGAGAGTTTCAACTAAAATCTTTCCACAGGTTCATTTGATATTTTGCTAAAAGACAGACAAACAAATGCACAACCACAGAGGCAGTTACATGATTGCTCCCCTTTCAAGGCAGTAGGACAAAAAAACAATGCAAAAAACAAAATGATGTGTCCCTCAGCATCTCTTATTCATAGGCTCCAGGTTCTGGTGAGATTGCATACGAGGTGGCCACTTCTCATAAATTGACAAAGTCAACCTGATTTCCACCTCAGATTGGTGGATGATGTGTGAGTCTGTCATATAGATGTGACTGCACAGGGTGAAGTAAGTGGAGGACAAAAATCAAGTTGTGAGCTAGAAAAAATAAATAAATTCAGAGTTGGAAATAACTTTCTGCTCTCCACTCCAAGTCTAAAGGTTTTGTATTATTTAAAGTAAAGCAATATGCAAAAAAAAACAAAAAACTTATTTTTTTCAAGAAAAATTGAGTTTCTTTTGATGTTTTCCAAAAAGATTACAATGTATTTCACAGCACAAAAGCAGGTACCAGTAAAATATCCCCCCTGATCAGTTTGTTCACTCTTTTTAATTATTTATATTTTAGTATTCCATTTTTGATCCAGATAGATTTTGAACTTAATTCAGTCACTCACTGTCAGAACAGAAACTATTTGGAAAAAAAAACAGCAGCCAGGGATGATTGAATGCATGAACGAAGTTTGAGGTGTTTGCCAGAAAATACAATGGAGAGATGAATGTCAAGATGCATATCAAGCTTTTCTGATGACTGATTTCATTATGTCACGTTGCTGTGATCATCAAAACTTTTGTCAGGTTAAATTTTAATTAGAAAAAGGCTTTTTTGTAATTACCAGCCAGGATTTATTCTTCTCCGTGCTTGTTTAAAATACCTGTAATTAGTATCATCAGCACTTTCAATTTTTAAATAACCAATATTTCTTTCTTTGTTCATTTAAGAATGAAACAATACATCACAGGGAGAAGTTATTTAATACCTTGTTATTTTATACTCTTGACAGGAGGCTAATGGGCTGTTTTAATAGGAGGGTTACACAGCTGTTAACAGTCACAGTTAACAAGAATAAAAACTGTGATTTTCTTTGTTTAAAATAAGCTAACATTGAAATAAATTTTAAAACTAATAATTTACTGATTTTCTTACTTAAAATATCTTAGTTTTTTGTTACTGTTTTCTGGTATTAATCACTTTGCAGCAAAACAATAGGTAAGACAGGAAAACACAACTGGATAGTTTTTATCCATTTAATATGAAAGAATGTTGATCGAAAATCCCATGGAGCTGAGACAACATTGAGCCACAGATTATATTTGTCATAAAGATAAAAAGTAGAAGATTTGGATGTGCAATATATATTACATCCCTCAATACTTACAGGGTATGTACCTGGTACTTAAAGGGTACATACCCAGAGACCTTGCACATACCAGCAGGGTACTTACAGGGATCCATCCATCCATTATCTTTTACCCACTTCTTCCTTTTTGGGTCACGGGGGCACTGGTGCTCACATCCAGCTATCACTATGCGAGAAGTGAGGGATACCATGGACATGTCCATCACAGGGCCACATAGAGACAAACGAGACAAACAACCATTCACTCTCTCACTCACACCTAGGGACAATTTAGAGTTACAAGTTACCCTAACATGCTTGTTTTTGGTATGTGGGAGGAAACCAGAGTACTCTGAGAAAATCCAAACATGCATGGAGTGAACATGCAAACTCCACCCAGAAAGGTCCTGGGCTAGGATTTGAACTGGCAACCTTCTCACTGAGAGGCAACAGCTCTACCAACTGACCCAATACGCTACCCTCCAATGGGTATTTACAGAGATATTTTCAGAGTAGGGCAGCACAGTGGCGCAACTGGTAGAGCTGCTGCCTCTCAGTGAGCAGATTGCCGTGGCTCAAATCCCAGTCTGGGGGCCTTTCTTAGTGGAGTTTACATGTTCTCTTGAATGCGTGGGTTTTCTCCAGGTACTCCGGTTTCCTCCCACATACCAAAAATATGCATGTTAGGCTGATTGGTAACTCTAAATTGTCCCTAGGTGAGTGTGAGAGAGTGAATGGTTGTTTATCTTGTTTGTCTCTATGTGGCCCTGTGATGGACTTGCGACCTGCCCAGGCTGTACCCCGCCTCTCGCACAGTGATGGCTGGACATGAGCACCAGTGACTCCCACAACCCAAAAAGGAAGAAGCGGGTAAAAGATAATGGTTGGCTGGATGGATCTGCAAAGTACTTATGAGGGTAGTGACAGGATACCAACAGGGGTACTTAAAGGGTACGTACCAGGTGGCCTGGCCAGGTATCCAGCCATTTGTTTCAGGCAAAGGCTAAAACCAATGGGATAAATGTTGTTTTAAAACTATTTTTGACCATAAAAATGATTTATCTTTCCAGATTAATCTTGTTGACTTTTCATTTGATCAGACTTGTCTCATTATTCCCAGATGTATTGCTCTTATTGTATTGGTAAGTATTGGTAAGTATTGCTAATTTGTTTCATTTTCTTCCACAGATTTTGGGCCAGAACCCTCACCCAAGATGTCTGCTAACTGCTCTTTCAATCTAATGGAAGGGAAAGACGACTGGTTTTGTCCTCCAGAACAGATTTGTGTCAATGTGACCTCTGTCATAAATGGCAGTGATGAAGCCTGTCTGACAAAGAACGAGTATCTGGAAAAATATTTGGGTTTTCAAAGATCACCCATGTTCCGCCCTGTCTGCCTTATCTATCTGGTCATCTTCTTGGTTGGAGTTGTGGGGAATGTGCTGACATGCACAGTCATTGCACGCAACAAAGTCATGTGGACGCCAACAAACTACTACTTGTTCAGCTTGGCTGTGTCAGACCTGTTGGTGCTACTGCTTGGTATGCCACTGGAGCTGTACGAACTCTGGCAAAATTACCCCTTCCTGTTTGGGAAGGGAGGCTGCTACTTCAAAACTTTCTTATTTGAGACTGTCTGTTTGGCATCAATCCTGAATGTGATGGCTCTGAGCATTGAGCGCTACATTGCTGTGGTGCACCCACTGACAGCAAAGTCTGTGGTGACACGTACCCATGCCAAGCGGGTCATCCTCTCCGTGTGGGGTATTTCAGTTTTGTGCGCTGTGCCTAACACCAGTTTGCATGGAATCCTCATCCTCAGCATTCACTCGGTTGGCCCTGCTGGGATTGTAAGCTTGGAGATCCCTGACTCAGCCATCTGCATGTTGGTAAAACCACAATGGATGTACAACCTGACCATCCAGCTCACTACCTTTCTTTTTTTTATCCTGCCCATGACCACAATCAGTGTTCTGTACATGCTCATTGGTGTGCAGCTGAAACGTGAAAAGATGCAGCAGGCACTAGAAGGCAAATGTGGTTTTGGAAAAGACAGCTTCTGTAATGTCCGTATGCAGAGGCAGAAGGCACGTCACCGGCAAGTCACGAAAATGTTGTGTGAGTATTAAAAGATGAAGAAATTATACCAAATAAAGCAAATAAGACATCTAAAAAAGTTAAGTCTGGTCCTCTGGACCTTCAGAATTCATTCTGAATGTCCAGAGGACCAGACTCTGTATAT